ACGTCAGAGTTAAAAGTCAGTGTAAAGTTCTGTAGACACGGAGTGAAGACATAACTCCACACAGTGTTGATTAGTACCAGTCCGCAGGCGTGTGCGGTCTGAGAGCTACCACAGTCAGGTAAGTTAAGTTAACATTCCCATACTGGTAACATTGTTTAGTAAGTATTTTTAAACTAAATAGCTCTTTATAGTTACATTGATGTCGAGTTAGCAGCATTTACCCATAGGTTTAATGATATTGTCGAGTAGCTACATGCTAACCATTGCTAAAAGTTCAAATGTTCGTTATATTCTCACTGAGTTAAGATTAACCTAAAACATGTTAACTATGTATTTCTTCTAAGTGCAGCTTAGATAATATTATTGTCACATGTCTAATGGGATAGTTTTAGCAACTAAATTACCGTTTATTAGTAAGCTAATAATCGCTAATTAGCTTCGAAGGAACTATCAGAAAAAGTGGGTAACATTACAATAAAGTTTACTCTACTGATTTATATTCTTTTAAGCAAATGCCAAAGGCTTACACTAATTTAGAATTAATTCAGATTCTTTTATATAAATTAATTGACAGCAATGTTAATGATATGTTAATATACAGTAATTGTTCACAGAAATAAAGCGAATTGCAGTAAGAGCGACCAATACTTGATAAGTAGACTAAAGTTATTAAACAATATTAGATGTTAGTCACACTTGGTCCATTTGCAGTAACACTGGTTGATAAAGGATCTTTATTAGCAGTTAATCTGTTACTTATTTCTTCATGCTGTAGCTGTTAAGTAATATTGACTTTTAACTGCTTCTATTTTGTATAAAAACTAAAGCTCTAAAGTACATCCACAGTTTTAAACTCTTTCCTTTATTATTTTTTTCTCTTTTGTTTTGTGAACAAATATGTTGCTGCGTGTTTTGTTTGGTGGGGAGCAGAAGTATGTTAGGCTGTCTGACCTGGGCCCTATTTCAGAAAGCCGGTTTAGTGCAAACTCTGAGTAAGTATACCCTGAGTTAACGAAAACTCTGGGTTTTCGGTTTCACAAAGCGAGTTCAGATGAATCCTGAGTGAGTCACTATGACGACACACTCCGTGAAGCTAACCTGCCCCCTAGCAGGTTTACCACAACTAACCCTGACTGTCTCCGCCTCTTTGTCGGAAACCTGACAGTAGGAAGTGTCGGACATGGCGTGCCCCTACCTCGAAGAGCCAGTAGATGTTGAAGCCCAAATTCTCCGCAGAGCTCTCCGCCGGGACAGAGTGATTAGAGCGCGTTTGGACATTTGATCATTTCCTGATGATTTTCTGTGTGAACGTTACCGTTTTTCAGCACAATCTATAATTCATTTGAATAACATCCTCAGGCCTAATATTACTCATGTGACACATCGCGGACATCCTCTCAGTTCTGTACATATTATTTGTATTGCACTTCGTTTTTTTGCAAACGGGAGCTTTCTGTATAATATTGGTGATGCTGAGCACGTTTCCAAGGCTACCGTCTGTCGGGCAGTCAGGAATGTTACAGTTGCACTGAAACGTCTCCTGCACTCGTCTGTGGTGTTCCCCGGTCATAGACCCACAAGATTTATCAAAGAGGGATTCCACAAAATTGCAGGTATCAGGATGAACAAAACTCAATTCATGATGTGGTGATACTTGAACTACTACTTAAATTTTACATTTATTTTCACGGTTCCCAGGCGTGATTGGCTGTATAGATGGCACTCACATTCCAATCATTGCTCCTTCAGTAAATGAAGGAGACTATGTGAACAGGAAGTCTTTCCACAGCATTAATGTACAGGTACATAGTTCCCTGTAGCATTTCAAACTAACAAATTATTTCATTATAGTAATGGATGCTAATTTGTGTTCTCTGCACTGTGAAGATCATATGTGATGCTGCCAACATTATGACAAATGTGGAAGCCAAGTGGCCAGGCTCTGTTCTGACTCACAAATTTTTTGTGAATGTACACTGAGCACAAAATTTGGACATGGTGAGTTGAAAATACTTTAAAATATATAAAGACCAATTGCTACAGGGACATTTGAACTGAAGTGTATCCTTCTGTCTTAGGAGAGTTCACTGGCTGCTTGCTTGGTGATAGGGGGTATCCATGTTTACCCTATTTGCTTACCCCTTACCCTGACCCTGAACCGGGCCCACAGCAGCGATATAATCTGGCTCATTGCAGGACAAGAGCCAGAGTTGAAATGACTATTGGAATGCTTAAGGCCCGGTTCCAGTGCCTTCAAAGACTCAGGGTCACCCCAGAAAGGGCATGTGACATTATTGTGGCATGTGTGATTCTTCACAACATTGCCACAATTAGAGGAGAACACTGTCCTTCTGAACCAAACATCAGCAGTGATCCAAACCATGAACATCCTGACCCTCCCACGGACATACAAGATGGAAGAGCAGTCAGAGACACCATATGTCACAATCATTTCCTTTGACCCATCATCTCAACATGTTGAAAGAAGAATAAACAGATTTTTTGTTCAACTGGCTTTATTGGTCGCCTGTATTTCCTGTACACAAAGTATTAATAAGTATATTATTATGTATAAGTATATAACACTGAAATAATTCGTCCATCTCTGACCACTTCACCCACCCTTAACTGATGTTCTAGCAGTAAAATCTCAATCTTGGTCTTTTGGATCTGCTGCTTGAAGTGTTCCATTTCCAAGTCACATTTTTTTATTTTCTTGATCAAATGGGTCTTGTACAGCTGCTTTACAGGGAGCTATTGAAACACAGAAAATAGCATTGACATTCATAGTACATGCCTACTTAGGTTGGTTGTAAATCAGTGCTGAACATCTTACTGAGGAAAGGTTTGTTGGAGACGTGGCTGGACCCTCTTCCTCTTCATTTCCATCATCACTCTGTTAGAGACATAGAAAGTCCATGGTTTTATTATAGTACCACATTTTATTCAATTGTTATATTTTCCATTGTAAGATGTAAACCTCATAAAGTGTCTCTGTTGCTTCCTCCTCTGTAACAGCTGTCAATGTTTCTTCATTATTTTCCTGTAGTAAAGAAATTAACAACATTGCTGTTCTACTGTAAACTCATATAATCTGTGGAGTATTACTCATAACTGCATGTTGGTCTGGCTCAACAGGAGGCTGCACCAGATGCAGTACACCATCACCATCAACTGATAGAATATGAGGTTTATACAGGTCACTTATAACTTACAAGGGACCAAATGGCAATTAACAAACATATACCAATCACCTTACACTTCATTGTCATTATGCTCTCAAAGACAACCAAGACTGAGGGAAGGCAAAATCAGTAGGAAAATAACTTCACTACAAAATAATTCATTATGGTAAAGAGTTTATCAAATGAATGAGTAGCACTGCAAAGGTGACTGTGAAGAAAGGATGTATGCACATCATGTATTATTTTGAATTTACCTCTTATGTAGGCACTTGTGTCTTGCGGGGTTACTGACTCAGAGGATGTCCCCGCAGAGATGCCTTCAGCCACAGGGCGCCCACTGTTTTGGCTGAGGGCCAACTGCTCAGCCTCTGTGAGTGGTGGTGGTGGAGGACCCCCACCTGTTTTTCAGGCCTCTGCTTTTTTTCTGTTGGCTATAACGGGGTCACATTTGAGCATACAGAGTAAGCAAATATGTACTTGTAATGTGCTCAGATAATTTCAATAAGTGCTTACAGAAGGAAAATTAATGTAGCCTCTAACTGCAATTGATTTACATGGGACAAACAGACCAAGCACTATGGCTCATAATACAATTACACCTTACCTGTTTGGACTATATTTTTATATTTCATTTTTACTTGCTGCCAGGAACGTTTGGGGCCTGTTGGGTTGCACCTGCGCTCACATCACGTCACAAAATAAAATGTATAAAATAAAAAATAAAATAAAATAACGTGTTAAATGGGTGGAAATCCCTAGATCAATGTTTAAAGTAACACTCACGCATTGACTCTGTCGGCTATGTTTTGCCATGCATGCTCCCTTTGTTTTGCAGCTGAGGCTGTGTTACTTTTTTTCCGCAAAATTTGCATGTTATCGGCATATGCTGCCATCAGAATTTCGGCCTCAAGCGCTGTAAAATACATTGACCGCGCCTTCTTTCCCTCCGTCTCCATGGTGACTCGCTTAATCTGTGCTCCACTAATCAGGGCTTTATGTATCCTCGTGCGCGCGCTTGACTTGGGGTTAAAGCAACTCCGCGTTGATTGAACTAATTGTTATCAGCCTTTCTGAAACCGAATATTCCGAGTTGGACAGTTCGGGGTTACTCAACCCTGAGTATCGTTTTTCACTCTGAGTTTTCTAAACCGGCTTCCTGAAATAGGGCCCTGACATTTGATGCTTTCATGAAAGAAGGTTAGAATATCAGGATAAAACAAGATAACAACGTTTACCTGGTCAATAAACAAGCTTAATTATATTCTAAGTCAACTACCTAAGTTGATAATTGTTTCTACTTCAACAATGAATGAGAATTACCTATATTCTTAAGCTTCATCTCATCAATATTTTGTGAAGACATAGCCTTACTCTACCATTTGATAAGAAAATGCATGGCCTTTTTTTTTTTTTAACAATTTCTGTAACATTTCTTTTCTCTTACCTTACTTCAGTGTGCCTAAAATTTAACATACCAGAAGGCAGACAGCTAGATATGAAGGTGTTTGACCAGTCTGACACAGAAGTAGACGCAGAGGTGTTTGAAGAAATAGTGAAGGGGTCACCTGTAACCTTCCGAGTCATGCTGAGCAATGAAGAACTTGGTAATCACTCACATACGTATATGTTTATATGAAATTTAAAGGTTGAGATTGAAGCATTAACAGTTAAATTTAATGCTTCTGCTTTGGTCATGTTCCTTAATGCACAGGTGTATCTCTGTCATCATCATCTTCTCCATCGGATGATACAATCATTCTAAACTTCACAATGTGTGAACCTCCTGAAGAAGCAGCAACCACTGAAGGAAGACACCTAAAAGGCCATGCCATATAAACTATGAGGCAAAAGCTGTGGGTAGTGAACATTGTTAGTCTAATTTGCATGTTTGATGTGAAGTGTTTTTATGTAATCGTTTTCCAGTTTTTCTCAAGGTTTAAAAAATTTCTGACTTCATATTTTATGTCTATTTAAGTTGATTGAAAAAATCCTAACAACAAAGCCTGGTGGTGAACACATCATACAAGAGTATGCAAAAACCAAATCTCTGACAGATGCAACTAGAAGACAGATGATAAACATACTTGCTGCTGAGATGACAGAAGCACATGGGTAAGAATCATAAATGTAGTCTATAAAGAAACATTTTTAGTATTGTATTATTTTTAATTGTGATGTTCAATGCCAATTGAGTGACGGTCATCACTGAATTTATACATTAGGACATCTCCCCCTAAAAGTGTAAGAGTGATGTATGCGCAGGGGATTGTTGCTCTGTTTCCATATCTGGAAGACCCATATTCACAACATGGATATGTAAGTAAAGGGGACTTTGCAACATTAAACACATAGTTGCCCTCAGAAATGTTGATAACATTCTGCTTGTATTTAATTACATAAGAACATTACTATGATCCAGAGAGCGGTTCAGGATACCTTGCGTGGCGGTTGAAGACAATTCAAAGAAAAGCTGCAGAGGAAAGAAGTGTCTCACTTTCCAAATCTCCTAAAAGTAAGTTCACTTGTGATTTAAATGATTCTGATCTAATTTGTAGGCAGGAGTCAATCAAATTGTTTTTTCTTAAGTTGGCGGGCCAGGCCGTGGTCGATCCAGACCACTCACCACTGAGACAGTGTTATCAGATGAGGATGTAAAAGCAGCTATTGCTCTTTTGAGACACTCTGCTGATGAAGACACTATCCGTGAAAAGATGAAAGCTACCTTCATTTATCGGCATTCAATGGTCAGCGATGATAAGAATGCAGCAGATGTCTTCATAGTCTTCCCGCGGTTTCTGGACACACCAGGACTGGTAAGACATCTTCATTTGTTGAATCACTGAAATATTCCATGCAGCTTGCAATTTCACTCATTACACCTCTTATCTTCTATTTTTGCATTATAGATAGAACAAGATTTCAGACTCCTGTTTGATGAGGTCACTGCCAACAAATTCTTGGAGAGGTGGCCCATCGATCTCAAATCAAAGATTGTAAAGGAAAGTCATGGACTTGTACCCACCTCGGAGCTCTTGGAGTTGATGTGCAATGCTGAGTCAGCTACTGAAGTTGAGAATGGTATGACTGACTGTTTTTATTTGCCATTGTTGGTTATATAGGCAATTCTGTCTATCGAATGTATTTTTGGAGTAATTCTTTGTTTATTCGTCTGTAGGCTGGGACAGTGACATGTCTGCTATCTTGCTGCTGCTACATCTGCTACCGCCATCTGCACAAGGGTGAAAGAGACCAGGAAAGATGTCTGCATCTCAAGCTGTCGATAACCTCATCAAATTCCTAAAGGTATGTTATTTAAAATATATATTCCATCACCGCCATTGTAATGTACAGTAAGGTGATCTAATCTAATGGGATAGTCACTAAATACTGCTGTTTAATGTGTTGTTGTAGGCTGGAACCAGTGTACAGCAGCATCTAGACAACATCACCCGAAGCAGTCAGCCCTACCTTCTTGCTCAGGGACCCACAAGAAGCAGCATCCACACCTTCTTCATTGTGATTGACAAGCATGCACTTCCATGTAAAGCGACAGGTTCAGTAGGAGCCCTTGATGAACTCTTTAAGGCCCATTATGTCTTTGATACGTCATACAGTTCATCCCTGACCAACTTTTTCACTTTTCTGCAAACAACCATTTACAACATTGATGTTGGGGAAACAAAGGAAACTCCCAGAGTTGCGAGCAAGAATGGTGCGTTAGTATCCATTGAGATCAAAATAATGAAGTGCTTTCTTTGCAAAAGTGATCATGGTAGACCAAACAGCCTTGTAAAACACCTTAAGGTAATTCATGGTCTCTGTACTGGGAGGACACTATATCTCAAATGTGGCCAAGTGGGATGCTCACGTTCTTTTAGTAGTTTTTCTGGCTTTAGAAAGCACCTGAACAAATGCCACGTAAGCAGTTCATTTGATTCTGCAGAACTAGATTTTTCACCAGTTCAAAGTGTTACGGACACAAGTACTACTGCTAATGTTGATGTGGTGCCTGAACATTTAGAGCATAGGTGTCAAACTCTGGCCCGCGGGCCAGATTTGGCCCGCAGCCTGATTACATTTGGCCCGCGAAGCCATACCAAATTACTATTAGAGCTGGCCTACTGGTATTATACAGTTAATATATATATTGTTTAGTATTAAGCTTTGCTTGTTCCATATTCAGGTTTTCAGCAAAACTTGTTTGAGTCCATAAAAAAAGATTCATTCTTATATCTAGAGGAAGATTTTTTTTTTCAATAAATATTAATGTTAGCCCGCGACTTTGTTCCAGTTTTGAATTTTGGCCCACTGTGTATTTGAGTTTGACACCCCTGATTTAGAGGCTGAGTCGGAATTATCTTCAGCAGACCTTGTAAATAGTTGTGCAGCTGTTATTTCTGATCTAAAGGCAGCAGGTGTAGGCCAAAGTGTAGTGAATTCTGTAGTGAATTCCATGGAAGAGATTGTTCAAGATATCCAACAACATGCTAAAGAAACAGTCATTAAGCATGTATTTAGTAATGAAAGAGAAACAGAAATGTGCAAGAAAGTTGAAGCATGTTTTGATGAGTTAGAGAATCCTTTCTCAGTTCTTAATTCTGAGTACAAGAGGTCAAAATATTTATCAGACAAGTGGGAAACTGTAGAACCAGTTGAATGTGTAATTGGCTCAAGATTTGACACAAGGCGAAATAAAAAGACTGGAACATATGATCAGGCAGTTGTTCAAGATAAATTCATGTATGTTCCAGTTTTATCAACATTGGAATCAATATTTAAGAGTCAGCATGTTGGAGAAATGTTGAAAAAATCAGACACTTGTGATTCAAGACGCAGAGATATTTGTGATGGATCTCTATTGAAGACACGCCCTCTTTTTTTCAACAGAAAAGCACACAGTTCAGATCCAAATGTTCTATGATGACTTTGAGGTTGCAAATCCTCTTGGTTCCAAGCGAGGTATTCACAAGTTGGGTGCAGTATATTTTACCTTAAGAAACTTCTCTCCCAAATGGAATTCTTTTTTGGCCAACATACACCTTTGTGCCTTATTTCATGCACAAGATCTGAAACGTTATGGTTTTAGTGAAATTCTTGTTCCTATTGTTCGAGACATTAAAGTGTTAGAGAGCGATGGTATTGAGATTCCACTATTCGGTGGTTATGTTCGTGGTAGTGTGGTACAGGTCACTGGTGATAATTTAGGCTTACATAGCTTGTTTGGTCTGGTGGAGTCTTTCAGTGCAAGGTACTGTTGCAGGTTTTGTTTAGCTGATAAAGATGACTTTCAAACAGAATTCTCTGAAGATTCCCCCAAAATAGTGTTGCGCACCAAAGACAACCACACTGCTCACTGTCAGGAAATGTCTAATAATCCATTGCTTCCTTATGTTTTTGGTGTAAAGAGTTCATGCTTATTGAATTCACTGACATATTTTCACACAACTGAGAACTTCTCAGTTGATGTGATGCATGATGTTTTGGAAGGAGTGGCCCAGTACAAACTGAAGTTATTGTTTTTGTATTTAAAAGAACAACATCTTACATTGGAGAAGTGAATTTGAGAATACAAAGTTTTGATTATGGATTCATGGAGAAAAACAATAGGCCAGTAGCTGTGAATTTAGGTGGAGAGTCTAATGATCTGGGACTGAATGCTATTCAGACATGGTGCTTACTGAGGAATGTTCCCCTCATGTTTGGAGATTTGGTAACCTCTACTGACCAACATCGGGGCCTACTACTTTTATTACTACAGATAGTTAACATTGTATTTTCTCCTATGTTATCTCAAGGTATGTGTGTATATTTAAAACATTTGATTGTGGAACACCACAAACTGTTCAAGATGTTGTATCCCCAGAAAAAACTTTTACCAAAGCACCATTTTCTTATCCATTATCCTCGCTGCATCCAAAAAATAGGGCCTGTACTTCATAGTTGGTGCATGCGCTATGAAGGTAAGCACAATTTTTTCAAGAAACTGCTCAAATCATTCAAAAATATCACCAAAACGCTGGCCAAAAAAAACACCAGAATTATATGGCATACATTTGGCAATCTTCAACAACCTTTAGTCGGTTAGACATTGGTCCAGGAAAAATGGTGTCTTTAGATATGGTAAAAGGAGGTTCTGGAATTGCAATAGCAATGCAACTGCCCAATAGAGTTCAAGTTATGAAAGTGAACTGGGCTAAACAGAATGGTATTGTTTACCGCCCGCATTTGGTTATTTGTGGCAAAGTAGTGTCTGAAATGCCTGTGTTTTACCAGATTGAGTCAGTTCTGATAATACATGAGAAACTGGTACTTCTCATTTTGCCATTATGTACAGTAGCCTTTCAAGAACATTTCCATGCTTATGAGTTGACCAGGACAAAGCAAGATTTAGTTGTCTTTCATGTTGACAGCCTGCATTATCCCAGGCCTTTTGACATACAATTGTCGTATGGAGTGAATGACAACTGTCATTACTTACTGTCATTTGTAAGAGTTTGTTATGCTAATAAATGCTGTTACTGTAACCTGTATGTTTGTAGTTATTTTCATAATATAGGATAGATCACAGCCATTTAGAAATATAGCATCATATGATAAATATGAAAAATAATGAAAATGAATATTATTACACATTAGAGTGAACTTGGACTAAAAATAACTCTATAAAGTGAAATCATATTACTCTAAACAGTGTGAATAACCCTCAGTGTTAAATATTTTTACACATTTTGTTGTTAATTTTGACACTAAACTGAGTAGAATTAACACTAAAAAGTTAACACTGGCCATAGAGTAAATTTTACCCTAATTTTGAGTGGGACAAATGTTATCTGAAACAGAGTTAAAATCAACTCTCTAAGTGTAAAATTGACAGTTTTTTACTGTGTGGCCTCATATCAAATGTGAAGGCAGAATGAGTCTACGTTTGACGTTTGTTTATATCTAATCTTCCTTTTCAAACATTTAAACAGCAGCGAGTCTGCAGCTGAGGGAACACAAACTCAAATTGTCGGAACAGGTTTGCTCGTTTCTTGGATTCATTTGGTGATTTATTAAATGTATAACTGTTATTCTAATCTGCTGCTGGGTCTCTTACACTTTTCTTTATGCTGTATATTTTCACGTCTCTGGAATAGTTGGCAGTTAGTCAGCTGGGAAACTCTGCATATCGTGGATATGCTGACCTCGCTCCGTGGTGTACAGGGCCGTTTACCCTCATGATTAATATTCACAATAAAAATATTAGCCGAACATCATGAAGTCTGTATGTGTTTCATAGTGTCGAACAACCTTTGTACAGTTAAAGCCAGCAGTTACTACATGACAGAAACACCAACGTTATCTCTTTTATGCGTTTATACACAGGTCACGCTGATTACTGAACAAAAACCCAAAGATCAGATGTTAAACAGATTTATTTGCTCTCTCTCCTCCTTAAACATGTTTTTAATGTTAGTTATAATTCAGAATTGGCGACTGAAACACGTAGGACACATAAGAACATCAGGAAATAAAACACCGATAAATATAACCTCAGTAAAAGAAGTCAGCGGGGGTTACTACAGCTGTGTACCGGGGCCTGCGCTTTGTCGGTGGGATTGCTTGCGAGGCGAGCGGGTCTATCCCACGCTTTGCCGTGAGACTGGGCAGACGTCTCCGAAATCATCGAAGCACTTTTGCAAAGAGGCTGTATCTTGACAAACCGACCAGACACATGAAGATTAAACCACTACATTCTCGGCTAAAAAAATATTAAAACGGTATTTGGTGACACACAAACAGGGTTTTTCAAAGTTCAGTTCTGTTAGCTTCCACATGCCGGTTGTTGTGTGCTAGAAACAATGGCCACCAGGCCTAAGCAATGGTTTTGACTTGATCAGCGTTAACCCCGCCCCTGAGTTTGATGGGTGAGGCTGACAGATAAAATTATTTCAAGATGAGAGCCAGGCGCCAGGACTGCCAAAATGAAATAACTAAATATATCATTAAATAATTATTAAATGTGTCAATAATTAATTAATTAAATGTGTGTTGGCCCTGCGACAGACTGGCGACCTGTCCAGGGTGTACCCGCCTCTCGCCCTATGACAGCTGGGATAGGCTCCAGCGCCCCCGCGACCCTGAAAAGGATAAGCGGAAGCGAATGGATGGATGATGGATGGAATAATTAAATAAATTTGTGAAATACATAAATAATTAATTAAACGTGTCAATAATTAATTAATTACATGTGTCATAACTATTTATTTAATTAATTAATTCCAATTTAATTAATTATTGCCACATTTAATTCATTATTTAATGGTGTATTTAATTAATTCATTATGGCAGTCCTGGCGCTCCATAGGCACCAGCGCCAGAGGTGAGGTTGAATACAAAGACTGTCCTCTGGACACCGTAATAACATGCCCGATCCCAAGGCCCTATATGTATGTGTTATGAGAGTGTGAGTAATGTGGATGTCTAGGTTGTGGGAATAAAATCAGTCTGCTGATAAAACAGTGAGCACAGTGAGAAGATCTTCACTGAGCTGATCCATCTCATCTCATAAAATTGAGGCACAGGTGACCAGGAGGGACAGAGGGGGAACGACCTTTTATTGCTTTTTTCTACAACAATTTCTTAGTTCAGCTGCAGTATTTGATATCCTGTAATGACTAAAATGATAATTTAAACAATTTACATAAAAAGATTGTCTTTTAAATGTTACGTTTATTTAACAACTTTAAAGGCTGAGCAGTGCTATTTTTAAATGAAAAACTCACAGGCTCACATGTTCCAGGATTGAATTAGTGTCTGATAACCCTCCCTCTTCCTGCTCTCTAACTCAGCACCTCCTCTCTGTCCACATGTTCCCTTGTTCCCTCCCCTTCTGATCTGCAGTTTGAAGATGGGTGCAACCAACATGTGGTGACGTATAAGAGCTGACAGATCCCATTCGCTACAGAAACCTATGTTGTTTAGATCAGAGCAGTTTCAGTTCTGAGGAAGTGAAACTCACACAGTCACTGACACTGTTGGGTGAAATGGCGCAGAAAAGTGTTCAGCTGGACCGAGAAACC